GAATTGAATGCAATCAAACATGCTTTCCGGTAACAAATAACGAGAACCTCTGAGAACTTCCTATTGTGTATTTCAAGGATATACAATGATATTCTCAAACTGTTAACTAGTTGACCTCAATAAGTTAAGAATTACTCCCGCGGTTATCATTTGGTGTGGAGGCTAGCATAGAAATCATATCTCTTCAGCAAGTAAATATAAGCGGTAAGAATATACTTAACCCACAGCCTTGCATTTGGTGTAGCCTTGTAGCATGGGGAACTCTATAAACTGGTTGCAGATGTTCCTCCATTCATATTCTACTCATTCATGGGGTACATATTTTTCCGTTTGAGAAAATATGCAAAGTGAATGTACGAGCATATTAGCAAGTTGAGCCAGATTGATCGGAAAATACCAGTTTTGAGAAAAATTCTAAACTCGGTAAAACGCTAGTATTGTATGCAGATAAATAGATGTTGCAATGCTTTTTCTATATCAAGGATCTCCAAAATATGTATTTACGACAAAATATCGAGATCGGTTTTCTGGAACATAAAAAAAATACACTATACTTCCAAGAAGAAAGATAAAAAAAATAGTTTTAAATAAAAAAGCGCGTCATATATTTTCCACTGTACTCCACTGTGTACTGTACATTCTACTATTTTTTCCTCTCAACCAGCCTTTCTTTTGTATTTGCCAGAACGTCCGGATGCCCAGTATATACTACCTCCCCCTTCCCTCTAGCACAGAGCGGTTTTCACAGCTTCCGACTGCGGTGTCGATCCCCCAAAGTGCTACAGGAAATAAAGAGTCGAGAAGGCCGGACGGAAGTTAAGACGGATGAGGTAAAGCTTTCGAGATAACCTAAACACCGCATATCTTCCAAACTGGAGATGAACATGGTATGAGGCCGGTACTGTGAATACACAGCTAGTTCTTTCAGTACCATGGTAAGTTGCTCACTTACACTTACGTCACTTCCGGGGATTTACTCCAACCAGGTGTCTCCCACCCGCATGACACAGTCGCAGCCAGGACAAGCACTAAGCTTCCGACTGATCTCCAGCCATGTGTGGTAGTGTACAGCACGTGAGTGTAAGTGTGCATAAGTGAGGTGTGAGGAAAACATAAGGAATGGGAAGGAAAGTTCGCGCTCGCTCCATAGCCCGTTTGTTAAGGCACTGCTCCGGCGCTGTTGATTGGAGAAACCACTGAAAACTGCCGACCAAAATAGCCGGCTGCTAGAATTGTCCTTCAGACAGCAGCTGAATTCGCCCTAGCTATCTAGCTAGTGGCGAAAATGCTGCTACCGTTGGGATTCGAACCCTAGGACCTTCCGATCAGGGTCACTGCTTTGACATCAGTTGATGCTCACGTAAGCTTCCGCGGCTCGAGTTCATGATTTGTTGGCTGTCCGCGTTGGCTGAGAGGCCACAGGCGAGAGGCTAGAGGCTTGAGTTGGCCTCTCAGCGAACGACGCGGCGTCACCCGGTCAGCCAAGAAGTCATCGGTTGTTGCCCACAGCCATTTATTTGCCCTCAGCGACCTTTATCGTTAATAACTAATATTAAAACATTTACAATTTTTTCTAGAATGGACGGATTTGTATATTTCTATTTGACCTACTGTCAATCTGGTATTATAGAAAACGGTTTCTTTTTGTCACTTTTTGTAGTAAAACTTATGTCGCATTAAGAATGAATGAAGGTAATTGATACTCGACACAGAAACGCGTCATGATGTATTTATTCGTTGTTATGTTTATTTATTAGTGAGTTTCGTTAGAAAGTCTAGAATTTGTGGTTTACGTCACTACGACGATATAATCACTATGAAAACAGAAATCATTATAAAATAAAGAATCAAGTCGGGAACGTTCTAGGCGGTAAACAGTACGAACAGAAGCTGCAAACACACATTAATAGCTTGAAAAAGAAAATACCCAATAATCTTGTAATAAAATAGAGAATTGTTTGATGAAAAAATAAATTCGTTATGCTCACTTAGCAAAAGAAACAAAAATAACTTCGCTATTTAAGCTATAGAAGGTTTTTGTATTCTTTTGTGTTCGCCAATTGTGCAATAAATATTTTAAGCAATTAAAACTATTTGATTGACGAACACTTTAGAAATATGTCTAACTAATATGCTTTTTGAAACATTTGTAGTAAACAGATAATGCTGGATGCAAGAAAAACGAATACTGTCTGGTGAAACAATGTTTATGTGAACATGTTTGCATAAAATGGCCCATTGATTTGGGTTGTATTGCCAAAAACCACCAAGCCGAGTGCATTTCAATACACCTTGGCGACAACCTCCGCCTGCCCAACAGTGATGAAAGAAATAACAGAAAATGAAACCTCCCATGACCCTCATTGCATAAATCTTTGAAACCTTTTGCAGTCTTTTAATTTCACTTTCATTGAATAAAATAAATTTTATTCTTAATTTATTTGCTACTCTTCCCTAAACATGTCGGTTTAGGTGGCTCAGGGTTCGAGTCCCGTCGATGGGAAAATTTTCGACGCAAGATACACTAGATTGAATACAGCCACTGTTTCAAGAGTTCTAGCGGCCGACTGATCTGATCGGTAATTTTCCGTTATTTCCCTTATCAATACCAGGTGAATGCCGGAGCAGTACCCTGGCAAACGCACCACGGACAGCGAACGATCTTTCCTACACCTTTCCTGTCCTATCCTCACACACACTACCACTTATGCACTACACTACACTCATGGCGGGAGACCAGTCCGGAGCTTAGAGCTTGTCCCGGGTCGGGCTGCTCCCCCGCCGGTGGAGATACCTGGTTGGGGAAGCCCAGCTAGCTGACGGGTAGGTCTGAGCTGAAACTCGCCATTCATTGAAGGAAGATGGCGGTCGTCTCCAGCGAGACTAATGACCTTAGCAGTTGACGTACTCTGAATCACTAATCAATCAACCAATTCCTAAACAATACTAGATGTTTTCCATTTTCGTTCATTATTCATTACCTTTCTTCATTACCTGCCGCAGAAATTCTCATTCATATTGCCATAAAGAGGACTTTACAGATTAAAATAGTTCCTAAAACTAATTCCAAGGAAATTTTCTCCTGTTTCACTCCGTGAACTACTTACAATATAGGGCGCTCACTCACCATCACGGCTTTTAAGCATGTAAAACGCGTTTTTTTAAAATGAATTTATAGCATTTACAAAGGTGACAAGACGAATCGATTGACACTATTTTAGACGAATCCTTCTAGAATATTATGAAAATAAAAATCATAAAAAACGTGTTTTTGAAGGTTTCAACGAACCGACAGTGGTGACAAAACGCTATGTATGACTGCTTTTCTATCAAAACGAGGATTACAATTTAATTCATGAATCTGACTTTAATGAAACCTAATTTTGTAATGATAGATACAAATTTTTAAAAACCCTTTCTGTCAAAAATCTTTTCTGTTACAAAACATATTCTATGCCCGAGGATGGATTAGTCTGGCAACTGTATCTTGTTCAAAATGTATATTTATTGTGAAGTTCCATTACACATATACGAATATTTAACATGAAAATATCAGTCGCAGGCCTCACGGTTAGCTATACCGTTTCAACTTCACAATGAGATCAAACACAACCAAGTCGGGAATAAGCACGTTCAAATTGGTAACAAACTCTCAAATTCGGAACCAACTCATTCACATTAAGACAAATCACACGGAAATCGAGATATATCATTTTAGAAGGTGGTAGGATGTAATGATGTGAATTAAGAAGAAATCGACCACAACAATAACAGTTTTAATTTTTATTAAAACACCTCAAAGTCAACTTTCGGGAGATACGTTTTCCACATTCACTGGGTCTATAACATGAAAAAGGAAATATAAGAAATTAACATGAAGTATGGAAAGACAGAAAGAAATTTCATATTTTCTCAAATAAATGTTTATATCATACATTTATTATACATTTCAATATTTATGAAGGAAATATAGTAGCTAATGAAGAAGGAACAAATGCATCTCTGACAGAATACGTGGAGTTGAGCCATATTTTAAGTGGTGGTTGAAGATGTCACAATTATAAATAACAATTTTAATAAATGTCAATAACCATGCAAAGTTTATTGCTTATATTGACCGGATGCTTTAAATGTAATTGACAAGATTGTGTAAATAAGTCAATCTATATTGTTATTTTTCTGTTTCGTGCGGTTGAATTCAATATATTTCTAATACGCCTTCCCTTCTTGTATTTGTGTAATTTACCTTTTTTTATTTTAATTCTGTGGATATGAAATTGAAAAGCGAAACGTTTGTTCTCAATATGAAGGACATTCGCCTCGATTTATATGTGTTCGGTCTCGATTTGAATATGTTCGGCCTCAATATGAACAAGCTTGTTCCCAATATGAAAGTGTCTGTTCTCAATTCGAAAGGGTTTGTTCCCAATTGTTTAATGTACATGGTCTTATTTTAAAGTTAAAGAGGAGTATTATTGTAAACTTAACAATTTATATATTTAATTATTTGATACATTTTCGTAATAAATAAAGATGATAATAAAGCTCTTTAACGTTAATAAGATTTCTTATATACATGTTTGACGAAAATTGGTCACATCATGGTAACAATAGACATTTTTAAACTAAAAAAAACTCTAAGGAGAACAATAACCAAATGCCGTGAAAAAATGAAGCATTTTATAATGTAGTACATTCTACTCATATTTCTAATATTTTACAGTTCTCTTGCTGTGCGAAAAAAATAATATTTAAAAATAAAGTGGTACGTAAATGGATTACATTAGGTTTATATTGTACTTACGAAATAAACTATATAACAAGATGAAAAATTGAAAGATTGAAAATGTATTGCTTTGAATCTGATTTACTTTAACATTTTCATCATAGTTCCCATTTCATAAATCCTACTGAGGTAAATTGTGAAACAGGTGCTAATCGCCAAGTGTTTGAAATTGCCAGCCTTGACGATAATTGCCTTGCGCGTGACGTTCCTTTGGAAGTAGTGAGGAAGTTGTGGTGCGTGGAGGGGAGAAAATAAGTTGAGAGGTACGGAGAACTGGCCAATGGCCAAGTTGCTGATGATGTCAGAACTCTCCGGAGATGTACTAACGCACAGATCTCGACGTTGCTTCAGTGTGTACAGTCTGTCTTCCCTGCAACATGGTAAGTCGTGTTTTCCAGTGTCGCTGCTGATTATTACATACACCGTTTACAGTTTGAATTAGTAATGTATTGCTCGTGTCAATATATTAATACCCTCTATTGTGGACTGGTCATACAAATTAATTTCATGTTCCATTTTGGCATTATTGATTTCATTTCTGATGTTCGATTCCAGAAAATAGGGCAGTTAAAAGTATTGTCGGGTATCTAATCACATGCTTCAGCTCTTAATGCATAAATCCACCCCTGTTGGACACAAAATTGTTGAAAGTCACTTAGATATATATTCGTATTTGATAGGCGATACGTAATGATTTGATATGATTTGCATATTTGTACGTAAATTTGATACTTAAAAATACTTATTAATTGCGACTTACATCAGTAGGTGAACAGAGTACTTTATTACTAGCAGTTTGATAAAGAGATTTTTTAAGAAGTAGCTGTAATAACATTTTCAATTTAATTATTATAATATTACGTAGTCGTTACAAGTAAAATGAAAAGGACTCCCCTAGTTAGTTTATTGGTATTGTTGGTGTCATGAAAAATACAAGCGTGTCATCATGCATATAACTTTTTGGTAATGAAATCGATATTTTTTGATAAGATAGTTTAAATGTACAGGAATAAGATATAATCACATATCAACTGGAAATGCATTTCCGACCCAAAATAATAGTAAACTAGAGCCGAGTTCGACACTTCTTCTAGAAAAGAAATAAACTGCCAGAATCTCAGAGATTCATTAAATTATTTAGAAAATAAAAATAGTTACATTGAATAATGAAAAATTCTCGGAGAATAACTTTCACAACTGCGAATTAAATGGAAAATCTAAAAAAAATGAACATCAAATAGATTTATATCATCAAGTATAAACATATTCCTTTAGAAGATTGTAATGTGTAAGTAAATATAGTAGTCCACCACATTTTATCATTTGTGATATTCCCGATACATTTTTCTCAGACTGATCTCGATTTATTTTTTACTTCGCAGGGAGTAGACTCCTTGACCTAGTCTTTGCCTATCGCTTTCTTAGTCCAGTTGAAACTCTGTCAAATATTTTCAAAAGATGCAGGCAATCAATTCAATACCTATTAGGGACATCTTTAACTGTTTACCTTTGTACTTTTCTTTCAATGTAAAAATATTATTTAAAACATATTAGGATATTGTCCGAATTTTTTCGGTGGGAGACAAGATGCTCCGTTGAATCTGGAGAAAAATTAAAAAGAAGAAATAATTCTTTCTGTATTGCTTGTTAAGCCAGAAGGTCTTTCAAGAGCATGAATACAATTTAATTAATAGTCACAATAGGTTTTGGCACCATCGTTAATTGTAAACTCATTTACTCATCACTAATTTTGGTAGTTTATAATAGTTGTTTAATTTGAATGAATTTTGATTTTAATTACTTTATTTCTCTGGGTATCAATATTGAAAATGCAAATAATTAAGGGGAACGCAATTTATATTTTTGAAATTTGTATCTTACGTCCAGACATGGATTTTATTATTCTAGGGATCACAGCATTACGGCCTAAACAAATTTTTTACTTAGAGAAAAGTTAAGTGAAGAGAAATTTTTTTGAGATATCTCTAATATATGATTTTTAATGGAATCTGCATGTCATTATCTATGAATTGGGAAATTTGGTGCAAACCAAGGAGCTTGGAGTATCCTTTTAATACTTCAAACATCTAAGGCATTTATTATGCACTTGTAACTTATCTACTGTTGTAGCTCCAGTATTGACACAAATCGGCCATGCATTACTTAAATATGGTAAAATTATAGATTTAAATAATGACATCGGAAATTCAATTTTTAAGGAAGATTTTCTATTAATCAATGGGTATAGTTTTGATTTTACGTATGTATCATATAAAGTTATCAAATTGTGTGGTTTCCAGGTTAGTCTTTTATCTAAAAGTACGTCTAAATATTTGACAGGCCCATTTCTCCTTAAAATGGGGTTATTATAAATATATGTGGCGGAATATTAGACCTTCGATGTGTAAATATGTTAGCCCGACTTTTACTTGTACTTAATTTTATTCCCCATTACTTAGTTCAAATTAAAATTTCTTTAATATCATTTTGTATTCTATTACCAGCTATTAACACATTTTCGTGTGATATAAATAACGCTGTATCATCAGCAGAAAGAGCTAATTTACTATATGTCATTTTAGGAATATACGAATTGAAACGCGTAGGAGACAATACAAAACTCTAGGGTACTCCAGCTGTTATATTTCGCTGTGTTGACAGGGTATTGTTTATTTTTACAAAGAAAGAGCTTTCATGAAGGAAGATATAAATCAATTTTTGGATATAATCAGGAACTCCCAATATTCTTAGTTTATACATAAGGCCTGAATGCCAGACTCTCTCCTATGCCTGGACAATATCTAAAAAGATTGCTACTGTATGCTATTTGGTTTGAAAACCTTCAGCAATATTTTCAGTTAACCTTAAAAGATGATGTATACACGAGTGGTTTAACCTAAATCCAAATTGTTCATCAAGAATTGCATGACTAATGGCAAGGAATTTATTAAATATATTCTGTAATACTTTTTCAAAACTTTTTATGATAATGTCGGCAGTCAACTTATAAGTAATAGCTACCCTAAGGTCTTTACCTGGTTTACGAAAAGTCAGAACATTAGCAATTTTCCATACTTTCGGGGAAATAATTTTATCGTAAAATTTCATTCAATAAATGATTCAATTATTGAAAGAAAGGTAATGTAGTCAAAACATAACATAAAATGATAGAGAGAATTCCAAAGAAATCTACAGAAATTGACCTTATGTGTATTTATTTTTCATTTAAAATACCTTCTTCGAAGTTTTTTTTAACTTATCGGTAGGATTGAAAATCAATATGATGAAGAATGGTACGTTGGGAAGCTAAGATGGAAAGATAATCTGAAAAAAATGAGATAGACCGCGGGAAATTACATCTTATGAACTTTTTCAATAAGGAGTGTACAGGATAACTATACTTACAGGGTTTAATGTTACAGTACTGGTTACGCAAAAGTACATGTCAATTATAATTTACCGCTACGTCAATATAGTTCTGAAAGATTATAGATGTCGCGAATGATGCGGTTGAATGTGTTATCAGTTTTTCGTGATAAGAGGTAGTATGTTTGATACGGTGATATAAAGAATCGTTTTCTCTCCATTTCATTCTTCTCGCCAGAAAGGTACGCTTTTTTATTTGGTGAAAAATTGGATGTTATTATTTTGACAATTATTTGAATATTATCTCTCATTAAGCAGTAATTGTCATTTGCTCTTAGTTGCAGTCAACGTATGTAGAAGTCAAAGTATGCACCTTTGTATCTTCCTTAAAAATGTCTCATCAATTTTTGAATGATTATATTTTTTGTAAACATTAGTTGCGTGTTATTATTTTCACTGAATAATTGTAACAAGTATGAAAGCTATTCGACAAAGAAAATATTTCCTATTTTGTGTATGTATAAATAAAAATAACATTTTTGATTTTAGGTGACTTGAAAATGAACGAAGCGGAAGTTTTAGCGAAAAAGTATTCTGTTGATGATCATCAGAATGAGGATTCGGATTTAGGGAGTAATTCTAGCATGGAAAGCTCACGGCCAGTCCAACACAACACGGTAAACATTATTAAGCGTCTGATTGACTTCTTAGAGAAGGGGGACTTCGGAAAGTCAGATTTGCAGTGCTTAGTCTTTGATAGTGAAATATTAAATAATGCTGTAAAGCGCGATATAAATAAAAAATGCTAAACTTTGCAATATGTTAATTGAATATCAATACTTTATTAAGTTAACATACGGCTGACAGGGTTTCGCTGACAGGGAACATTAATTTTGCTTCTTAAGAAAACACAAAACTGCTGTGAGAGTTAAAATGTATGTTCCTCCAGCTTTCACCGACACCACGCTTACCGATATCTACGAACTCCGAAAGATGTAATTGGAAATGTCTCGTGCAAAGGAAACTGTACAGTTTTGACACAAGTTAAAGCTGCAATATTCGGTTAAACGATTGATTAAACATACTTTGATTAGTTCTGGAGAACTCTCAACTTACAATCATTAAACGTGTTACGTGTAATATAGAATAACAAAATGTAGAAACTCTCATGTCAAATCAATATTGAAGGAACAAGCCGGCAGAACTGCTAATTGCAACATGCCAAATAAAACATGTTGATGACAAACGTTAATTAATGGCGACCCGGCTTCGGGCAGATAATTCTGGTCCTGGGCTTACAATACATTATATTTATACAACAGCGAAAACATATTAAACAAATATAGAGAAAATAATGTAGTATCACAAGTTGAGTTCCAAATATATGAGAAGTTATTTATTTTATAATGGAGAAGTGGTATGAAAATTATTTAATGTGTTATCAGACCTTTCTTTGCACAACATACCCATATTCTCAGTCTGAATCTAACTATATATCCTTTACGAAAAATTTTACTGTGTGATAAAATACTAAAACAAACGCACAAAAATGGCAATATATATTTTAAAGATTCATATATTTAGATTTTTTAAAAAATGTCTAGGCAATAAACAAATCAACTATTGAGTGCGATAGACAACGGAGCATTATAAAAGCATTGATAAAATTAAGTAATATTTTCTTCACTTATTTACATTAACGTTCCGTTACTTTACTGTTCCGTCTCCCAAAACTGTATTTCAAGTCCTCACTATCCGCCATATTTCAGAAGATAGATTTCTGGGATCACTAATAATAAATTAACGTTCATATGAAGTCAAAGGATAGTCTGAAGATCTTTCTTAAATAAATTATTTTCAGTTCTTTCAAAAAACAATGTAAATACTTTCAACATTCTTTCTCACTGCTCTTCCCTTTTATTTTCTCTTCTCTCTTCTTCTCTTCCATTTCATTTTCCCGTAAGCATACTTTTCCGGAGAGGTATGTAATGCTGCGAAAAATCGACTTCAGGAATTACCTGATGCCAAGAAAATGTTTCTTTTCAAAACGTCCGTCAATCCGTCAATCCGTCAGTCCGTCAGTCCGTCAGTCCGTCAGTCCGTCAGTCCGTCAGTCCGTCAGTCCGTCAGTCC